AAAGGATAATATTATAATACAAATGCAAAAAAGAAGCAGACGAGCCCTAAATACTGTCGATTTCTGACGCATTCAATGTCTGTCGCCCTATAGATCTACCAGAATATGACAAGCAAAAATTCTGCTGAGGACTATTTATTCTATATTTTAATATATCCACAACCGAACCAGTCACAAAAATGGGGAGCAGTCAAAAACACGGAAACTTGTGTGAAATACCTGAGTCACGGTTCCGATAATTTAAGGGGGCAATGACAGTCTACCTGAAGGGGGTTTAAGTGAGAAACGGTGGGTGGTATGGAGTTGTTGGAATAATACCTTGTTAATATATAATGTCACAGCTTTTAATAGGCCAATCGTACAAGATAAAAACAACAATCTGCGCTCATCAATGTTCTGTGGAGACGATCACACGGCTCTTAGTCTCTGTTTTTCTTGATTACACCGTAAAGATTTTGTTTTGTCTTTTTATCGAAACTATTTCCTATTTCCTTAATACCTATGAATGCGTTTGCATATAAAACAGATCTTTTTCATAGTTTTCCCCAAAATTTATGGAATTTTATCCAGCTTTGTGCAAAGTGCCTTCCTCTTCTTTTACAGAATTTGCTTTTTATTTTCCACAAATTGGCACTGACAAAAAAATTCCTTTTTGAAAAGCATGACCAAGGAGGAAAAAGAAGAAGAAAGAAAGAAAACAGTGGAAGAGATTGATAAAAACCCATTAAAAAGTTTTTCGTGTTGAAAAACATTTCAAAATAAACAGTCAATTATTTTATACCTTTAGTGATTATTAATTTTAAATTAATTCACTTGAATTTACTTCAAATGATTTAAATTTCATTTTCCGTCTTTTTCTCTGTCTGCTTTCAATTTTGCTCATTCATAATTTTTGTAACAACAAAAGTTCATTTTATGTTCATTCAGAAAAAAAAAATTGAATTACACAATAACTATGTAAAAGTAAAATCGTAAAACAAGATATGAAAAGAAGATCAAATTTTCATAAGTACACGGAAGCAATGCAGAAACTGTGACTGAACTTAGAATTTTGTCTCCAATAGATGTTCCGGGACCTGTACCGCAAGACGTGCTAATCACCAAACACAGGGGAAATAACTAAGTAACTTAATTTTATTGTTTCAAACACTCCTAGCCGCTATCAAACTGGCATATAAAATAAAATACAATTACAGTCAAACTTAATGTTAAATAATGAATTGTGCAAACTAAGTTTAAATGTTTCCCCACTTCCAACAATATAAAATCTAAGCAGAGTCGGGAGCATTTTCCGGGGTTTGATCTACATTGGTTCTGACAACTTATATATTAGGAATGTTAAAAAAATCTCACGCCAAAGATATGTGAAACATTGGGAAAACTTGATGTGTTCATTAGTAGTGGCTTACATATTTTCTGTTTACAAACTGACACCAGATGAGGGGCAAGTCATTTGTCATCCAAATATTTACATGTACCTGATAAGCCGTGTTACACATTAAAATTTCACGCTGACCAATAAAAATTATTTCAAATATATTACATCTCAAAATTTTTTACTCTAATTGTAAGATAGAAAAAGTATAAAGTATTTAGTTTAAAATAAATGTCAATGCAATGATAATTAATAGCATTTCTTTCCAACTAGCAAGCTTATTCTTGAAAATATTTTTATTATAATATTTGGTTTAATTTCATTTTAAAGAATATTTTGCATTTCTAATAAATGAAAAAAAAATTATTAGAATAATTTTATGTGTATTTAGAAATGAATACTAGTCATTTTTTTTATTTGATTATTAATTGAGAAGTAATATAAGCATTTAAAAATTCCCTAAAATATCTTTTTTTCAATTTAAAGTAAATATAATACCAGTCCGACGCATTAGTACCATGTTATAAATCAGCAACATTTTTGTGACATATTTATATTTCTGTATTCATCAATGATTTTCTTTTAACAAATTGATCGTAATAACATTGAATCATTGAGATTAGCAGTATTAAGCAGAGCTGCAGGTCAATTTTGCCTGATGACAACGCTGATTAAATCGACGATCTGTTAAGAACACTGCAGGCAAAAGAATGTTGATTTACACATCTTTATCTGATTTAGCTTATTGTTAGGAAGTATTTGAATTAATCACACATATATACATATTATTGAATTTCCTTATTATGTTTAGGGTCGTTATTATTTTAATTTACTTTTTATAAAATACAAAAAAAAAAAAAAACGCTTTTATTCTAAAAAAAAAAATTACTTTGTTGTGAAAATTTTAATGAAATATTTCGGATAAAATCATATTGCATTCAAGAGAACATCGAAAATATTAATCAGCGCTTTCCTCTGCGAAACTGACTATCTAAATGAAATATGATTGAGGAGAAATTGAAACACGATAGGCAAAGATTTAAACGTGTAGCGTGTCCCCCCATTAGCGCAGCAAAAAACTGACAGGCCGTCAAGCAAGGAGACGCAATCAAAACACAAATGCATCCGAAAGCCAGAAACTCTAACTGCTCAGCATCCGGGCTTTTACATCCTGTGCAGTGACGTGCGCACCCGACGTGTGGATGCTGCTCACTTCCTGTCAAGTCACTAATTGATGGCGAATTTACTGAATGAGAGCATTTATGTGAAATGAGTAAAACACGGTTTAAGTATACACTTATATCTTTCATGAATATATAAGCAGGTTTTTCAAACTTTATAAAAATAATTGGATCAACTTGCTACATTGCAAAAAAGATTCTTTAATAAAGGAAAAAATAACTAAACACAAAAATTTGTAAAAGGCAGAGGAACCAAAAATAATAATTTGTGGTCATTTACCAGATTTTTTTTGTCTAAATATTTATCTAGTTTGTAGCACTTTTAAACTTAATTTCCTTTATGGATAGATATTACCCATCAATTTGTAAAATATCATTAAGCTGAGTTATTTCTTGCCAGATAACCTTCAGGCCCCTCTAGGTGTGATCGGACACTTCAGATAATCGGAGCGATCCGATTACCCGTGTAATAGCAACCATCAGCTATTGATACCCTGTCATTCAAAGTTCCGGATTATAGGTCTGTCTTTTCGGTATCGATTCCGGCAATTAGTTCTCTGCGGATCGTTTCAGGACAGGCAGTCATTTAGCCATTTGGACATGAAACATTTTTATTCAATTTGGGATTTTAAATGTTTTGACCAATGACAAATACTAAATGTTTTCCACAAACTCTTTTAACCCTAACACCGTAGATCTAAAATAATTATATTTTTCGGTCAGTGAAAATAAATGTACCATCGGAGAAAATATTTTTTAAAATGTTCACTCATCTTTAAAGTAATATATTTCTAATTTTTATGAACAAAAATACTTCCAGGGGATCAGTATATTGACCGAATTTCATTTTAGAAATATAATCGTTATATTTGTTTTCCTTTTTTCAATTTTATATACAATTAAAATTTAACATGTTCGTTAGTTTTAGTTTATAAAAAAAATTCTAATTTATTTTTTTTTAACTGAGAAATAATATCATCAGTGGTTATTGTAGTTCACGATACTTGATCACCTTGTGTGCGGCGTAAACTGCCATACCCAATTATTGAGAATTTTTGTAGGGGGCTTTTATTCACTAAAAATATGAATTCGATCAGTGTTTCCCCTTGAGACTTTAAGAATATAAAATATCTGTCCACAAGGACAGGAGAACAACTGATTAGAATAATTCATTCTGTTTTATTTGTAATTACAAGGACTTTTCGTAAACTATACAAACTAATTACAAATGTCATATTTACCCAACAAATTACATAACATTATCACCTGGATCGGGATGTAATGATTAATTAAGAGAGAGACGGAATCGGATAGCAATGAAACACAGAACCCGGGTATTGGAAACATACCGGTGTAACTGTGTACTCTACTGATTAACAAGGTTCTTAACAACTAAAACATAATGGAAAAGCAAATTTTAAAACAAATGATTGTTGTAAATTGACAATCCAAAGAGATAGCAGTATACGGGTACATAATTAGCCGGGACGTTTACAAAACGAGCGCCTAAAAACTAAGTAAATATCTGTCTGTGCAGAAATAGACTTTGACGGGGGACGGATGGTCGTGCGTGCACGTCTGCTGGAGCTTGGAGACCAGTACCTTGTCCCTACCTGGTTTGCACAACTGCTCTGGTACCGTATTAATGTCTAGATTCTGAAGAGGATAAACACTTGGGGTAGTCTGCGTCAAGTTAAAACAACGGTCAGATTTCACCAGGTATTAAATCTACAAGCTTCCAGCCCTTTAGTCTGTGTTTGATTTTTGAATATAATTCCTAAAAAGTAAATATATCACAACCAAGGGTTGTTTGGTTTGGATATTATGGGGAATTCTTGGACTTGACTTAACATAGGATTTCCGTGTTTATTTTTTATTTTTTCTGTAACAATGATCATTAGTGTTAACGATTGTTTTGGTTTTTTAGATTATAAAAAAATCATCATATTTTGTGAATGCTTAATATGCTTAATACTTTGTCAACAATATTACTAGCATGATTCATATGAGTTAAAACATGGCCTAGGGGATCACTAGAGCTGGTGTCCTGGGGGTCAAAAACTCTGTCTGTACTCTCGCTTTTAGTCATTATCCTACAGAATTTTTCTCCTCATAATCACCCCTCTATCCAAAGAATTTCACATTATGAGAATTAAAATTACAGTGTACTTTAAGTAATAAAAGAATAGCTAAACATTGTAGGGAAATTACAAAAATTCGTCAATTTAAACTATTAAGATTTATGTCATGAGACATTGCTTGTAAAATTAAGTTAACTGGTTCATTCCTCATTACCACATGAAAAATGAACATGAACTCTCCTCTAGAATCAACAGAAACCTCCCAACCTCCTATCCAAAACTCCAAGAAATATCCTGATTACACCTTTCCTAAATTCAAATAAAAACTAAATTATCAATCTGTTGTGAGACTATAGAACCTACCTGGTTTTGGAGCATTTCTCTTGATCTGCATCCATCGGAATGGTTTACTCTGTAAACTTTGGCCAGTGTTGGGTTCTGACTTAACTGGGGAGGGAACCTGCTGATTGATAGTCGCCCCGTACACATTAGATAGGGAACACGAAGTCAAATTATCAATACACGTTGTCCCAAAGTTTGAGCGACCAGTGTTTATAGTTTGTCCAGGTCCTAGATCTCCGGCTAAAGCCGCGTGAGGAGGAATATAGTGGTCCACTACATGTGCCTGTGTGTCCCCCAGCTCGTACCCCTGATGTCTTGTAGTCCGCGGTACGACTGGGGTGTTCACTGGGTATGTTAATCCCTGGTTTCCAAGAGAGAGGTCGACCCCGGACATTCCCGGGGGAAGCATATTCTCTGACCCGTAATAATTCTGTTGTCCAGTGTCAATCGCACGTGAGTTGATATTGTTGTTATATCCGTAAATTGTGTTAGGGATATCTGAGGTGGTGTAGCCATTTACATAGGGATGTGCATCCAGGTTACAGATCGTGTAGTCGGCGTCTGTATTCATTATTTCTCTATAGTCTTGTCAATGAAACACTTAAATCAGCTGTCGATAGCGAGATAAATCTAAAATAAATGGAGCTAAATTACGACTTGAATATGACAGGATTAGAAAGACAGTGGCACCCACGTGACAATTTCCATCCAATCAAAATCAATTCATCTCTCGTAAAGAAAAAAAGGTCCTTTGATAGATGGCCCGTGGATAAAACGAAGTTAGTGATGCGTGGATCGAACCAACATACATTATATAGACATGATCGGTGTAAACAGAGAGTGTGAGGAAATCCAAGTGTTGCGTCACATGCAAATTAGAACAAAGGCCCTTCCAATCGTTCAAAGTATACGTTCTATCACGTTTCCATAGCAATTTGTCTTTAAAGCTGTCAAAAAACGATCAAAAGTTTAACGGAATCAAAGGTATTCTTAAGATCACTGATGTATTCCTCCTCCAGTTATGCTTGATCGAATACACAATGTTTACCTTAGCAGAAAAGAACAAAATAATACACGCGCGCATTCATGCCAGTGAACGAAAAAATAAAACAAAACAGAAAAGGTCCGATATTATTCCTTTTTACTTTTTAATCGTTGTTTTATCATGTGAGTTACTACAATAAATGCATATGAAACTGGCATCATTTCCTTCCTAGAAAATAAAATATTTATTAAATGCCTTTTGAAACAATGAAAGAATTTATGCAATAAGCTGTATAAATGAATTCATAAAGCAACACAAAACAAAATCGAACATATTGTTAGGTAGAAAGTTTCAATTTTCTGATCAAAAACTTCACTATACGATGCATTGATACATTGAATCTAGTTTTCATATATTTTTTTGCAAGTTTATAACCCCTTTATCATTTTAATGAGGAATTTTAATTTGTTGTATTGTATTTTATTTTTTAAAACTAAATTTCATAGCTACTGTATCGCGATTTGTGAATCAGCAACATGGCATGTAAAACTAAATTCATCGATTGATCTTAATTTGCATGGCTGTTCATTTTGTTTATGAATTGAGAAAAATTACAACAGATGAATTAAAGATTCAGCATAATTATCACTATCATTCATCTTCACCCATTCTGTTGTGCAAAACAGTTACACCACGGATGTAGGCTTCAAACGAGGAAAAAATATATTCTAGTTTGTTAAGACCCTCCTGAAGTCGGCAGAGCTATGGAGGTTGAGATACCTCCCCGGATTCCTGAAGGAACGCAATGTGATGTGAGCGGATAATTGGAAACACAAACCCAGCCAGGTCATGTACACTTTTCTCATCATTTTCTCACAAAATGACAGAGAGGCAGAATCGACTGATTATCCCCCGCTCTATGGGAGGGAACCGCTCATTTGGTTTTTATCCTATTGTCTGTGAGTATTGGGGTGCTTTTTTGTAATTAGGTCGGAAAAGTTAAAGTGCTTCAGACAAATTGTTTGTAGCAGTATTTTTTCTTTATTTCATCGGTTACAATTCTATAAGACAGAATATGTAAGAATTTTTTATTTTCTATTTAATTTTGACTGACAATTAGGTGTAAAGTCAATCCATTCAGTCGAGAAAGTTCTTAAGAAAAACAATTCAAAAGAAAGTCATTCATCAATTTTGCCAACACTTGTAAAGTTCTTATAAAAGTTATGATACTTCCAAAATCTAGACAAAATATTATATATGTAAAATTTTCAAGTGAAACTAACAGAGTTTATTTCGCTTTTGTGACATTTTATAATTATTCTGTTACTTATTTGGAATTTTACTACATTTTTTTTAGATTGTATATATTTAGTTTTTTTTTTCTGGTCAACTATTCCTAGCTTCCGTGAAAGATTATTCATAAATATGTGGTATTACAATAAAACTGACAAAAATATAAAAATCCAGAAAAGAACTTCAAAACTGTGAAATCTTTATAATAGTCATAATTATGTCAGTAAATTTAGATTTATTATGGAAACTGTTTCATTAGATGACATTTATGGCTTTTGATTTTATCTTCCCAGAAGTCAACATTGAGAAAAGGATTACGGAAGCTTAGCTAGAATTTAACCTCGGTAGACTCCTTATACCCCGAGAGAACCGCGAGAATATGATATTAATTTGTAGCTTAACACCTCTGTACACGATTTTATGGAATGATTATTATTGGTATCTCTGTTGATAAAATAACCCAAGGTCCTAACTTGTTTGTTTTGACATGTAGTAAAGGGATAAAAACAATATTGGTTTTTATATGTAGTGTTTTAGATTATAACTGTCTAAATATTGGTAATTATTACTTCTGATCAAAGGGACTAAGGTAAATAGTTCACTTTGGTGAGTTAACATGAAAAAGATTTTATTTACTTTTTATTTGTCTTTTAGGTTCTTTTGATTTTCCTTTTTTTTTATTATTCGTTTGCTCGACTTTTTTAAAATATATAAAACGATGAAATAATTAGATGTATCTATCTGTTACACATTGATTTACTTATTTTTAAAATCTGATTATCAATAAGCATTTTTCTTTAAAAAGATCATTTTTAATTTAGTTTTACATATTAATTAATTTCTTAGCAATTGAGGAGAAAAGCGCAAGGGTTATAAAATATGGGAAAAAAAATTTGAATTACTTCTTATGACGCTTATGGAGAAAAAAATCTTTAAATAATTTTAAAAGTGCATTTTAAACAAAACAACGAAAATATGTAGAGAGGAATCAATTAGCTCCTAGTGTTCAAATTTCTGTCCGAATTCAAGTGGGTAATCTAGAATCGACACAGCTGGTCAGATTTGTTATGTTAAATATTAACAGAAAAATATCAGATTACCAGGAGAAGAGACCAGAACTTATATCTTTAGACAGTCATATTGTAAAATATTAATCTTAATTCCTGGTCATTGATTTACCAGCAAAACATTTTTCACATTCTTCAAATGCGGAAAATTGAAAATTATCAAATTAAAAAAAAATAGAAAAATGCGTTTAAAATATGGAGTAACATTTTTTTGATTAAAGAACATAAATTCAAAATCAATTTTAAGCTGTAAAATTATATTCAAGTCAGAAAAGTTCAAGCAGTATTTTTATTAATATTTCAATTTAAATTAATTTATGTTTTGTTTTTAATAATTAGCTTTTAATCATGGACAGTAAGAGACAGATATACAAGGTCAAATCCAGAGGCGAGAGGTCGACATTTTACTGTGATTTGATAATGATGGTATGCAGTCTTATAATAAGAGCTAACTTTTCTTCTCTTAGTCAGTATTAATTGCTTAATTATTAGTAAGCCTTTGATGTTCATGGGGAATGTATGCGAATTTAGATATTTACACGGTTGTTATTTAATATAAACCTATACAACCTTCTAACCTTAAGTGTACCTGTGTATCTAAAGCCAGGTAAAAGGATAGAGCAATTTGCACAGAGTCGTACACATTCCTTTTTATTTATATAATCTTTTGAACGGGAGAATTGAACTTGACAACCTAGATTTTATTTTTTTTTTCATTGGACATATAAAATTGAGATGATAAAAATTGTATTAGAAAAAAAGATCATTAAGAATCGATTTCTTTTAGTAGAAGATCTTAACTCAATACCTCTAAAAACAGATTCATTAAAATATAGCCTTGAGAGAAAATTAATAATAAGCTGAAAATAGCAAGTCATGATTTAATTTTTTTTTTTGAAATCAAAATACATTTCAAAAGGAAAATTTTCAATCATATATCGTCTGTGAATTTACAGTAATTAGAATAACAGAAATTAACTCCAATAAGAATTAATTTTCCATTTAAAACAAAATTCTGCTAGATTTAATCGAAATTTATTCGAAATCTATTGTTCATATATTTACTATTCTCATTTTAAAAAAATAGAAATTCCGAAAATAAACATTTATTTGATATAGTCAAAATGATCTGACATCTGCTCTATGTATATTTAGAATTATTTAATGCTACAGCACAAAATAAAACTTTAAAAAAAACCACATTGCTACAATCTAAATAATACAAAATGTTATATGTAGCACTTAATTTTATTTTACTATACAGTATTGGCTCTTTAGACCGTTTTGCCAACATAGCTAAAAGCTTTAACAGTATAAATTTTACTTAATTCGTACCCGGTAAAAATTGCCAAAACGAAAAAAATCACTCTTGGTAATCGGATCAGTATAATTAAAACAGATCAAAATTACCCTACATGTATTTCAGTTTTATTTGATCGGATTTTTTGTTGTTGATTGTTATAATTATGTGATTTAATTAATCTAACATATGGAGATAGAAACATTCCTCATGTCTGATTTTTGTATTTCTTTTTAACAAAAAGTAACAATAAAAAATATTTTATTGGCGGATTTATTGTATATGTTAAATTGTTAAATAGTGATTACACTTTTCTTGCACAGATTTATACGTATGAACAGTGTGTTTCCATTCAATTCATTTATGTCAAAGAAAAGAAATCTGATTACCCAAGATTATGAATCAGTTTTAGAATAAAGTCAACATACCATACACTTAAAAATTAGATATTAATACCAAAAAAAAAAAAAAAAAAAAATACAAATCTAAGGACACGAGATGATAAGTTTTTTCATTAACTATACATATATTAAATTTTTTTCTCCATATTTTGGGTGATGGGGTGATAAACCTATAAAACTGAACAGATTCTGACTAAAGGCAAATTGAAAAGAAAATGATGAAACATATGCAGACAACGAACAGTATTCAAGATCAAAAGTCCATAAAACTATACAAAACAGGAGCAGAGCAAAGACGGACCTCCAAAACATTGGAGGTGGAATCAGGTGCCATGGAGGAGCGAGCATCCCCTGCTGACCGGTCACACTCGCCGTGTGCTCCTTGTCATGAAATAACGGGAAAATCCGTCGTCAATTCAGTGTATATGTATAAATAATGGAATAACAATAAGTATGAAAAACGTCAGTCAGCATTTGACTCAATGATAAATTGTATTTGTTGACAAGGTCATTGTATCGACCATAAAACTTACGAAATAATGACTTTAAACAAGATTGCCGAAATTCTTGTTTCATCAACTTGTTTGTCAATAATTTACCTCGTTTTAGAAATTGTTCATACGTAGACCATGCTCTTGATAACGAACGATGATTGAACTAAAGAATACAAATCTGTCAAGAGGGC